TTATTATTATGAGTTTGTATAGCATCGCATTTTAAGGTGCCCTCCGTCATGGTCTTTCAGTGGCTGAATCTTCCTCATCTCACCATGGGAAGGAATGCATCATTAAAAGTAAAATTCATCCTGCTTCCAGGGGTTAAAAAACTTTGATGACCTTGGCTAGTACTGCAAGCCCTTTATTATGTGAACTAGATGAAATGATCACCCAGACCCACCTAAGTGAAATAATGTAAAAGTAGCAAGAACAAGGCAGTGTCTTTGCTACAATAGCCTACGAGCTTAAAGTACGATTCCTCCAATAAACTCTTGCTCTCGCTCAGCTTTGAAACACTGCAGCATTGAAATGTCATGCACATGCAAATAAATATTTTGAGAAGGTAAATTTGGAATTCAACTGACTGGCCACTATTTTGTGCTAAAAGGTTTTTCTTATATAGAAATACAGCCTGAATTTTCCCACACAGGATGTTACAGAAAATTCTACTTTATTACTGAATACCAAGTCAGTCCAAGTCTGGTTTAATTCTTATACCCAGAACAACTTATACCCAGAAACAAACTCTGTTGGCCTTGAACTTCCTTCTGTTGCCTCAGACCAACACGGCTATCTGTTAAAAGTCTTACCCTGTAAGAGACTTTTGACAAATCTCCAACTGCTCCAATAAATGTGGCAGCAGCTGTCCCATGGTTTCATCTCCAACACAGCACTGGACCACGTTTGGTATTTCATGGGCTCGGGTCATGATCTTCGCCCACGACTTGTCAATGTTGGAGAAGCGCTTGGCCTCCTGTTTCAAGAGACAGAGGAGAGAGCCATCAATGGCGCCTAGACAAGAGGACGTCAGAGAAGATGACTTTCCAGTGGTTGATTTTTTTTCCAGGTTACTCATGCCAACTTCTTACAGTACATTTTTTGTTGTATGTTTTGGAGAGCATTAAAATGATCGACCCGTCATCTTAGCAACCAATGTCACCCTACCTTGTTGGCAGGTTCCGTCTGACCCAGGAAAGGTTCATACCTTCGGAAGCTGTTTTGCAATGTCTCCGCCCACAAAGACAGCCTCCAGGTATATCCAAAGATTCTGCACAGTCATCCAGTTCTCAATTATATCGGTCGTGTTAGACAGATATTGTACCCACTTTTGTATCTGGGCCTTGAATGGTGTGTTGTACCTGAAATAAATGCATGAGTTTAGACAGAGTCTTTCGAAATGACCACATAAAAAAACCCCAAATTAGACAAGGGGAAGGATCTCCCGGTCACCTGTTGCTCATGAGGGAGCTCAGCACCATCAGGCTGTCCTCCATGCTGGCAATGGTCTCAGAAGTGCTGTCTCCCCTCAAGAGCAGCTCTCCGCGGGTTTTGAAACTTGTGAACGTGAATGTCTTGTTGTCCCACTCGGCAATCACCTGTTTCAGCTTCTGTTCAATGTCCCTCTCCTTCACGGCACTGATACAGATATCCTAATAAATCAGCAACAGGTAATAACTGCAGAGGCCTTAGCCATTTCATACCAAGCCCATCAGAACACCACCCAAAGCGACAGAACAGTCTTCGGGGGAGACTCTTGCACCACTCATGCCTCCCACAAGCCAATAACCAGCCGCAACACTCAGCAAAGCCACAGGCGGTGCTCAACGGCAGCCTGTTTGCCATGAAGAAGAAGAAGAAGAAGAGATTAGATTCATACCCCCGCCCTTCACTACCCAAAGGTGTCTCAGAGCGGCTTACAAACTCCCTTCCCTTCCCCTCCCCACAACAGACCCCCTGGGAGGTAGGCGGGGCTGAGAGAACTCTGACACAAACTGCTCTTCTCCAAGAACAGCTGTGCCAGAGTTATGGCTTGCCCAAGGTCATCCAGCCAGGTGCAAGTGGAGGAGTTCTCCCAGATTACAGTCCGCGTACTTAATCACTGAACTGAACGATGCTGCTGACGGCCCCCGTGGAACACTTTCCAGTGCCAGGGGGCTTTCTGAACTGTGAACGGGAGTCAAAGGTGGGTCACAACTGCAGCTTCTCCAATTTTTCACATAATTTCAACTAGCCCATTTATGATCTCTAAGCTTTAACTGTTCTGGCAACTACTGCTCATATTCGTTACGTGGCTATCAGATCAGCAGAGGCCAGTCCCCAGCCAACACCGCCCTTCCCAGTCCAAGACAAATCTCCTTCTTGGCACGAGTCCCTTCTGGAAGCACCGCGGAGCACTCTCTGGATTCCAAGAATCCAACCTGAGACCGGTCCCAGAAGATAGTCTAAAATATCCCAATACAGCTGAATCTATTCAAGCTACTGATCAGCTCTGCATCTACAAAAGCACACAGAAGCCCCATGTGCACTATGTAGAATTCACCCAAGGAAGGATGGTGTATGATGTTTAACATCTGTGTAATACACTTAACAAATATAGTTTTTCACTCTCAAGCATAGATCTATATGTTGTAGAAGGCTTTCACGGCCAGAGTTCATTCGTTGTTGTAGATTTTCTGAGCTGTATGGCCGTGGTCTTGGCATGGTAGGACCTGACGTTTCACCAGCAGCTGTGACTGGCATCCGCAGAGGTATAACACAGAAAGATGGAGTACTCTCTGTGTCAATGTGAGAAGAAAAATGGTAGGCAGCTACATAAGAACATAAGAGAAGCCAATGTTGGACCAGGCCAATGGCCCATCCAGTCCAACACTCTTTGTCACACAGTGGCCAAAAATACTAGGTGCCATCAGGAGGTCCAACAGTGGGGCCAGGACACTAGAAGCCCTCCCACTGTTGCCCCCCCCCCCAGCACTAAGAATACAGAGCATCACTTGCCCCAGACTGAGAGTTCCTATCTATACCTTGTGGCTAATAGCCACTGATGGACCTCTGCTTCATATGCTTATCTAATTCCCTTTTGAAGCCGTCCATGCTTGTAGCTGCCACCACCTCCTGTGGCAGTGAATTCCATGTTTTAATCACTCTTTGGGTGAAGAAGTACTTCCTTTTATCCGTTCTAACCCGACCACTCAGCAATTTCATGGAGTGCCCACCAGTTCTTGTATTGTGAGAAAGGGACAAAAGTACCTCTTTCTCTACCTGCTCTTTCCCATGCATAATCTTGTAAACCTCAATCATGTCACCCCTCAGTCGTCGTTTCTCCAAGCTGAAGAGCCCCAAGCGCTTTAACCTTTCCTCATAGGGAAAGTGTTCCAACCCTTTTATCATTCGAGTTGCCCTTTTCTGCACTTTTTCCAATGCTATAATATCCTTTTTGAGGTGTGGTGACCAGAACAACAGAGACCTGTTGTTTTGCTTTATTTCTGTAGAGGGGTATGTGCTTAGTGGGGGGGGGGAGGGTAGTTGACTGTTATTTCTGGTGGGCCAATGCCGTGGGGTGACTGGGTCCTGATTTTTAGTGCCTTTTCTTGAACACAATATATCTGCAATCTTCATGCTTTCATCTCCAGTCCTAACAAAGCTCGTGTTCAGTATGGTATCCATCAACGTCTCAATAAACTAAACTTTCTTCGAAGTGAGTGGTGTTGAGAACTGATTTAACCAGGATTCTGGCAGGCTGTGGCATTCCAGGGTCTCAAGGCAGAGGTCTTTCACATCACCTGATCCTTTTTTTAACTGCAGATGCCGGTGATTGAACCGGGGACCTTCTGCACGCCAAGCAAACGCCCTGTCACTGAGCCACGGCCACTCAGTCCCACGTAATACCACAGGCTCACTGCTGCAGAGACAGGGTGCAGTGGAGAATATGCACTGGCAGACACAGTCATTCAAGGGTGCTGTTATGTCAGCTGTTACTGCAGAGTCCCCCTGGCATAAATACCTCAATCTCTTCTTTGAATTTCAACAGAGGGGCTTCCATGATGTTTTTCAGTTTGAAAGTCTCGCTTTCTACATCAAAACTGTGGCCTGTGAGAGTGGTGATGTGCCTCCAGTGACGCGCCATCATGGCTTTATGGGACATCAGCTCAAGCAAAGGGCAACACTCGTTGAAGTCATCGATGGTCTTCTTCAGATCCAGAAAGGCCTGCCACTCCTTCAAAGCTCGTGGCAGCTTTCGACACCTAAAGGTACACCACAGAAATCCCCAAATATATTTAACAGTGATTTCAAATAGTGTTCATGCACTAAAGCACTTTTCCATATACAGAATGCTATCTAATCCTGCAAGACAAACTGCTGGCAAGATAGATTCAGGTGGGTCACTGTGTTAGTCTGAAGCAGCAGAACACAGTGGGGGCACCTTTAAGAGGGGGAGGAGGAGACTGGATTTATACCCCGCCCTTCACGACCCAAAGAAGTCTCAGAGCAAGGGACCCCTACAAGGCCTCTAGGGGGGCTCGGAACCGTCCAAGTCCCCTCCCATCCGCCACGATTTCAGGGCGCTCACATCAGAGTTCGATGGAGCGTGCCCATCCAGTGAGTCGCTGAAACAGGAAGTCGCCCCTTCCCCTTAGTCTTTAATAAGTCAGTGAGGGGCAGGCTTACTTGGGCGAAATTGGGGAGGAAGGGGCGGTAGAAGTTAGCGAAGCCTAAGAATGATTGGAGTTGTCTTCTAGTATGAGGGGCTTCCCACCCCAACACAGCAGCCACTTTGTGCGGGTCCATTTCCAATCCCCTCTGGGAAATGCGGTAGCCCAGGAAGTCTACCTCCACCCTATGAAACTCACACTCAGACAGTTTGGCAAATAACTTGTGTTCATAGAGGGTCTCAAGTAGAAGAAAAGAAGAAGATGAAGAGATTGGTTTTATACCTCACCCTTCACTACCCAAAGGAGTCTCAGAGCAGCTTACAGACTCCTTTCCCTTCCCCTCCCCACAACAGACACCCTGTGAGGTAGGTGGGGCTGAGAGAGCTCTTGACAGAAACTGCTCTTTTTTCAAGAACAGCTCTTATCAGAACTACGGCTTGCCCAAGGTCATCCAGCCAGGTGCAAGTGGAGGAGTGGGGAATCAAACCCGGTTCTCCCAGACCAACAAAGTTTTATTCTGGGTGTAAGCTTTCGTGTGGATGCATATGCATGCATCCTGTCGTAGCCCAGCTGGTCTCGCAGGCTCCAAGTCCAGGTCACACAGGCAGGAGCAGGGCAAAGGAATGTTCACAGCATAGTCCAAACAGTCCAAGGTCAGTTGTTACAGTCAGAGAGAGTCCAAAAGCAGATTCAAGCCGCTCCAAGAGTCACGGGAGTAGAGCAGAGTCAGGAGAGTTGTGGTCACAGGATTCACTGTGAGGTGACATGTTACTTCCACAAGTTGGCAACAGCTCACACCCAGCTTTAAGTAACTTTTCCCTAATTAGTCTTAGCTGCAGCTGGAAAGTTAGCAGGGCTCCTGTAATGACTCATCTCGTAGCTCTCACAGGCCATTAATCTTTTATTCTGTCTGCATTCTTGCAGTTGCCTTCCAATCTTAGCCTGTCTTTTTCCTATGAGCGGGGGTCTGGGGGAGCCGTGGGTGCCTCCGGAGGTCCTTGCTCCCTGACTTCAGTCGGCTCAGTATTCTCTGTCTGGAATTCCTGAGCATCCTCTACTCTGAAGTCACCTTTCGCCACGCTGGACTCAGGCTCGACTTCTGAGGAGTCCTCCCTCCCACTGGGCTCCAGTGGCCAATCAGACTGGTCAGGCCGCAAGTCAGACTGGTCCTCCTCACCCGGGCTGGACTCAGGGAGCAACTCAGAGTCTGGCTGCACCTCAGCCGGAGGCGGGTCCACGACACACATGGAAGCTTCCACCCAGAATAAAACTTTGTTGGTCTTAAAGGTGTCACTGGACTCAAACTTTGTTCTGATAACACGACAGTAATTTGACCAACGCCCACACAGGCAAAACTTCAAAAAGACCAGTGCCCACATTAACTGAGTGCCAGCGCTCTCTGAAGACGTTTCTGTGGTCATGTGGCCAGCATGACTAAATGCCGAGACACACAAAACGCTGTCACCTTCCACCGAAGTGGTTCCTATTTATCTACATGCAATTTCTTGCTTTCAAACTGCTAGGTTGGCAGGAGCTGGGGCCAGAGACGGGAGCTCACTCCGTCACATGGCACTCAGGTCTCAAACTGCAGAGCTACCGACCTTCCAGTCTGCAGCTCAGCGTCTTAACCTCTGAGCCACTGTGGCCCTAATTATTAGATTATTATTAGATCTGTCAAAATCACAAAAAGTAGAACAACTGAAAGACACTGCCCAGAAACACTGGGAAAAAAGGATTTAACTAAAACACCATTAAGGTAAAGGTAAAGGTTCCCTTGCTCGAAAGCCAGTCGAGTCCGACTCTAGGGTTGCGGTGCTCATCTCCGTTTCAAAGCCGAAGAGCCAGCGCTGTCCGAAGACGTTTCCATGGTCACGTGGCTGGCATGACTAAACACCGAGGCGCACGGAATGCTGTTACCTTCCCACCGAAGTGGTACCTATTTATCTACTTGCAATTTCTTGCTTTCGAACTGCTAGGTTGGCAGGAGCTGGAACTAGAGACGGGAGCTCACTCCGTCATGCAGCACACTCGGGTCTCGAACTGCTGAACGACCGACCTTCCGCAGCCTGCAGTTCAGCGTCTGAACCACTTGAGCCACCGCAGCTCCTAAAACACCATTAACGGAAATCAAATCCTCCTTCCATTGTTCTTCCAGACATGTCCCTGAAAACTGGGAGGAGCACATACATGTCTTACCCTCCCCACGCTCAGTACAATCTGAAGAAACTCTTGAGAGATGCAGACTGGGCCTCCCCATGTTTCCCCACCTGTTCTGAAAATCCAGGAGTTCGCTGTTAATTTTCTCGATGTTCACTTCCGACCAGAGGATGTCGTAGTAGCCATTCACTGTGTCAATGACATTGTTGTACAAGCTGTAAAGTTTCTGCAACAAATTCAGCTGCTTCTTTATCTCGAGAAGCTGGGGATACTGAGTGACAGGCAAGCCAAACAGCTCTTCGCCCCCCGTGTAGGTTACGTATTTCCGATAAAGGTTGTCAAACCGATTCTAGGGTTTAAAAATGAAATGCTCAAGGTGTTTGAAATCACAAGGAATAGCATAAAACCAGCTCAGAGGGTGTTAATCTAAAGAAGATTTGGCCAACTAGTAGCCCACATTTTCCACAGACTACCTAAACAAGAGCTAAAAGAGCAAAGAATCAGGGTGGAATTTGTCACACGTCTTCCTTTCCTAGAGATGATCTCTGAATTCCCACTCTCCTGTGCAAGTCTTAAAACTAGTCTAAAAACTGAGCCAGTCCAGGTAACAGGACTAACACCATCTTGACAACTAGCGCCATCAGTCATACACATATTGAAAAAAGTTTATAGTAAGGAAGATGACTGCTACTTCAGGATGGATTTCTAAACTTCTTCTTATTCTAAATCCCATTTATCTTTAAGTGCACCTTTTGGCTTTGCCATCTGCTTCCAGTCCAACTAACTGCATCAAGCACCATTGATTATACCTGCACGTGTGCGTGAATGTGACGTGTGAGCCATAAATGCATGCATAAAAACTACAGGTTAGGTGCATGTGTAAATGCACCCTCAGATACAAACATGCTAGTATTATAGTATTATAGATGTGAAGCCTAGACCAGACTTCCTCTCTTTTTTTTGCCCTTTCCCTTCTTTTCATCCATCTTTGCTTTGAGACCAGTGGTGTGAGGTTCAGACCACCAACAATACCAAGGCTGAAAAACAGCAGAGAAAGGGCAGGATAGGATGTCATTCCACTAGGAGTCACACTGCAACATTCCATTAAAAGTCTATCATGGGCAGTTTCCAGAACCTTCACCCGAAATGAGCGGAAGGATGCGAAGAATACCTGGAACATGACAAGCCTGTCACTCGCCTCCTGAGGTTCCAGACCAGCCGCCATGGGACCATTCTGGAAGAGGAAAAGAAAGGTGATAATATCAGAAGCTAAATCTCCTAAAGTATTTCAGAAAAGATACGATCCTTGGTTTTAAGAGCTACCATTCTGCCATTGGTTTCTTGGCTAGATCATCAACTTTCGTATCATACAAATTAGCACTGCTAAAAATAACAGCTGCATTTTCCATGGCCTGTGCAGAAAATGCTGCATGATGGAGTGAGCTCCTGTCTCTAGTTCCAGCTCCTGCCAACCGAGCAGTTCGAAAGCAAGAAATTGCAAGTAGATAAATAGGTACCACTTCGGTGGGAAGGTAACAGCGTTCCGAGCGCCTTGGTGTTTAGTCATGCCGGCCACATGACCACAGAAACGTCTTCAGACAGCGCTGGCTCTTCGGCTTTGAAACGGAGATGAGCACCGCAACCCTAGAGTCGGATTCGACTGGCTTTCGAGCAAGGGAAACCTTTACCTTTACCTTTTACAGGTCCCCTTGGAGATCCTCCCTGGCCTCCCTTGTGACCGATTATGAGTTATTGTCTTGGGCTGTGAGTTGGCACTGTCTGGCAAAACAGACTTAATCATCTCTAGTCTTGAGACCAAGAACAGCATACCTTGTCATAATCCAAGTAGTAGTGATCACAGTCTTCAACAAATGTTTCCACTGTGCTTATTAGCTCTCCCCTGAATTTGGGCTGCAGTGCAACCAATTCATTCTGTACTTCATTTGCTCGGACCAGCAGTTTCTCCCAGGTATAACGCAGTGTGTCCACTTTCTCCATCTCTTCCTTGGCCACCAGCAATTCATATTTATGTAACATTGCATAGGACTCCTGCCAAAACAAGCATGGTACCTATCAGCATACAATCTAAGTCACACGTGCACAAAATTAAACCAAGAGGGAAACAGCAGGAGGATGTCCTGTTAAAGGTGCACAGAACCCGGCTAGCCTAAAATGTAACTTAAGACCAAACTGCACACTTTATGGTCAGGTACTGGGTATGTCTTCAATGCCTATACAAGTCAAGAAGAAACGGTGATTTTGCGCTGAGGAGTGAACATATTCGCAACTGGAGGTAAATGGCACAAATATATATTGGGATATTTGGTTTAATACAGCAGAGTTTGCCCAGTCATGGAAGTGTGGTACTGAGCGCAGTCAATAAATCTCCCAAGAAATACATTGCAAAAAAGATAAACTTACTTTTATTCAAGCAAATCCAGTTCACATTCAGGTTGCAGTCAAAAGAAGAGAAGTTAAGCCTAAACTAAAGAGTACTTTCCCTATCACAAAAGGTGCAGCTTGTCGGGTATCCTGTGTGTGGGAGTGCAAAGGCATTGCTCTGACAGGAGAGACTTGCAGAGACACATGTCTCCGAGGAAGGCCATGTAAAGTGAGAGAGAGGACAAAGGAAGGAGGGGTCAGAGGACAGCTCCCAGATTCAGACAAAGAGAGGCATCCCCTTCAAGGAGGGAAACACCTATATACACCCTTGGAGTGATGAGGCACGCACACACACACACACACACCGTGTCCAGGCATGCTGAGTTGCTCACCCCAACAATAGAGAGGTTTCCCAACTGTTACAACTAATCTGCCCCCCAAGGATGTATTTTTATGCAACGTAATGTGCCATTACGGTGGCTGCGGTGGCTCAAGTGGTTAAGACGCTGAACTGCAGGCTGTGGAAGGTCAGGAGTTCTGCAGTTCAAGACCCGGGTGCCGCAAGACGGGGTGAGCTCCCGTCTCTGGTTCCAGCTCCTGCCAACCTAGCAGTTCGAAAGCAAGACATTGCAAGTAGATAAATAGGGACCACTTCAGTGGGAAGGTAACAGCGTGCCGTGCGCCTTGGTGTTTAGTCATGTCGGCCACATGACCACGGAAACGTCTTCGGACAGTGCTGGCTCTTCGGCTTTGAAACGGAGATGAGCACCGCAACCCTAGAGTCGGACTCAACTGGCCTTCGAGCAAGGGAACCTTTACCTTTACCTTTAATGTGCCATTAAGGCTCACCTGGTAAGCAATAACTGGATCCTGTGAAATAGCAAGCTGGTCAAAGCATTGATTGAGGAAACTAAATAAATAATAAGTAATCAATCACTGTTTTAAGTTAAGAACTATGCAGAATTGACCCTAATTCACCCCATCAGGAACACCCATACGGTTTTTACATAATGAAGCATGTACACGAATGTAAAATGGTTTATGAATTGGGTTATTGATTGATTGATTGATTTGATTTGTACCCTGCCCTCCCCGCCAAGGCAGGCTCAGGGTGGTGACCACTGACGCTAATGCTAGGATCTCAACTATCGTGCACCCAATCAAGAAATCTTGTTTTGTGCACACATACCCTGAGCATGAAGCCTCTTTTCGGTAACACATAAATATCCACACTCAGCTACAAGGAAGGTACTGCACATAACCACACTTATTTCAACAGATTCTTTGCCTTTAGTTTACATGATACAAGCATTCCACGAAATGCAACTTAAGCTGGAGTCAAATGTTTATGTGGAAACCTACAGTTGTGGACTACAGAGGAATTACACAATGTTAAAGCTGACAACGAATAAAACTGAAATTGTTCAAGATTTTCTGCTTTTCTGTTCCTTGGCTCAATCATCAACCACACAGAAGACTGTGACCAAGAGCTCAGAAGACTGAGACATAGAAGAGCAAACATCAAGAAACCAGGAAAGTCCTTCAGGGCAAGGAAGTGCCACTGGAGACCAAGATCAAAAAGGTAATGGTATTCCCTGTTACAAGGCATATGGGTGTGGAAGTCAAATAACGAAGAAACCTGTCAGGAAGAAAACTTTCAAGTAAAATGTAGTACTGGAGGAGAGTTTTACAGATACCATGGACTGCCACAAAGACAAGTAAGCAACTTCTTGATCAAATGAAGTCTGTATTATCCATGGAAGCTATGATGACTAAACTGAGGCTATTTTACTTTGGTCACGTTGTGAGAAGACCAGACCCCCTGGAAAAGACAATACTGCTAAGGAACGTTGAAGGTGACAGGAAAGAAGGAAACCCCAGCATAAAATGGATTGACTCAATAAAGGACGCCTCTGTGGCCCTCACTTTACAGGACCCAAGCAAGATTGTCACTGATAGGATACTTTGGAGGATGTTACTCCACAGGCTCACCATAAGTCAGAGGTGATTTCATGGCACCTAACACACACACACAGACATTTGTGGTATGCTGGCAAAATGAATGGGGGGGGGAATAACAATCACATTTGTTCCACATGGTAATGAGGCATCCAGACTTTGTATCAGAACCTTCCCAGAGATGGAGAAGAAATCAGACAACGGCTATGGAGCCAGCTGGGCTCTGAGAAGGGGCAGGAGAGGGAGCTGCTGCTGGAGTGGAGAGTGTTAAATCCCGGGTTCTGGACACATTGCAGTGATCGGCTCTAGTTTATTCAGTGATTTCAGCACACTACAAGAACAAGCTAGCAGGGCTGGAGCCCTGCTTATAAGCATGAAAAACACCACACCCAATACACACACACTCCCAGTGATAGGCTATTTACATTACACTGCTTATCTATTGGTTAGTTCCTGGTTCCTGGCAAGCTATTGTTCTAGAGAAGCAAGCTCAGCCTGTTCTAGGTACAGCTAGAGGAAAGGCTTAGGCTCAGTACATAACAGTGAGTGTTTTATTATTTGCCTTTCCTTCACTGCTGAGGAGCAGTAGCTGAGGTTACTGTGTGTGAGGACAGTGTTTAAGCCTGCGAGCCGGTCACTTGTCTTTGTTCTTAACTAATAAAGGTATGCTTAGCTGAAATCACTCTCCGTCTGCATACTTTTCACCACCCGTGGGGCCAGTGTTTTGCCTCTATGCCTTGCAGGGAAGGCAAGAGACGGAGGGGGGTGCTTGGCCACTGCCTTCCTCCACGTCATGGCCCTGGTCTTCCTGGGGGGGCTCCCATCCAAGTGCCCACCCAGGCTCACCCTGCTCAGCTTCTGGGACCTGACGAGATCAGGCTGGCTGGCGATATCCGTGTCAGGGGTTATACCTTGGACGTCTTTTGGTCTTTAAGGTGCTACTGTACTCTCACCTTGAGTCTTCTATTAAAGAAGGGATATCAATAAAGCAAGCCTACAGTGACAGGAGTTCAGAACAAGAAACAAGGGCCAGAGCTCCCTTTCAGATTACCTCAATGGGTCCCACTTGGAAATCTATGGCGATCTGTTGCTCTCGAATGTCTTTTAATGCAGCCATGGCTATTCTGATGTCATCCAAGTCTTTGATGTGACGGTTCAGTTTTTTGTTGATTTCCTCTACGAAGTTAAAGATATTTTCCATCTCTGACCTGTATTTCTTGTTACAGTGTCGCCCAAATGCAACCATCCAAGCTTTGGTCTCTGCTGTCAGGGCCAACTTTAGATCCACTGGGAAACAAAGATGAGAACAGGGCAGCCGGTTACCAAGAAACAGCAGTGTCCCCACCCCCTTCCTGAATCCACACACTCCCTTCTTCCTATTGCAAGCAGCTGACAGAGACAAAAAAATGGCTTTATAATGCATAATATACTTTGTCAGGACCAACAAGTGTACAGTAAGAAGAAATGTGATGTTTTAGTCAACATTCTCAGACTCTATTAATGTCATGTGAAAGCAACAACTGAGATTGTTCAAGACAGCTGAAAATCAAAACTGCCATACCAGTATACAGTGCAATAGTTCCCACGCATATGAATTCAGGCTCTGAGTTAATTTCTAGTTCTAAGTCTCTGTAATAAAGGATCTGGGATTCAAACTCAGACAGCAAAGGGCTTCCTTTGACGACGTTTTCAATGGCTTCCTCTTTCTCCCTCTGCCAGATGTGGTGGTAACATTTGAAACGTTCCAAGGCAAGAAGAACTTCCTGAAACAATAAGGAGTCGCAAAGTAAGGTGGCGTGTATTTGGCCGGGGTCACTGCAGTGTTTTGCCTCTATGCCTTGCAGAGAAGCTTAGGCAGAGTAAAGATCCCCAAAGACAAAAATCTATAAATACGTAAATCTTCAAGGGTCAAACTAGACATCACGTTTTTTAACAAGTTGGGTTGGGGTTCCTCTGGCCCAGTTCTCACTTGGATCAGTCAGGTAGCAGCAGCTGGGAACCACATTCCCAAGCACCACAGGGGCCAATTTGGATCAGGACCAGTGTTCCCCCTAAGCTGAGTTAAATGAGAGCTAGCTCACAGTTTTTTAGCCTCTGGCTCACACATTTCTGTCTTAGCTCAGGAAGGATGACTCCAGAGCAAATTAATTTATGCAGGAGCCAAATCGCTCGCTCACAACTTTCATACCAGTAGCTCACAAAGTAGAATTTTTGCTCACAAGACTCCACAGCTTAGAGGGAGCACTGATCAGGACCAGGGTGCAGGGACAGGAAGAGCTTCACTGTTTGCCCCATGCTGTTTTCCTTACCCAAAAAGACCCCCCCCCAGCAGCTGTTATTCATCCCATTCAAGAGCTGCATAAGCACTGAATGCTGCACGGGCAGACAACGGGCATTTTTGGTTTGGATCCTCCACCCATGCTGCAGCCCCAAACTAAACTTGGCCCCAGCCGTTTTGGGGGGTTTAGTGCCCAGAGCTGCCACTTGAATGAGCCAAATGAGAATTTAAAAACCTAACATCTAGTTTCAACAGAAGTGAGAACAGTTTGGGGAGAGGCTGCACACATTGTGGACATTTCCATATGTGGTTCATGGTATATCCATGGACCTACAGGGATTTCCTTGGCTTTTCTCCAATCTTTCTCAAACCTGCTTTTCTCCAAAGTTTTGGGAAAGATTGCAGTAAAACCTGGATGGCTGCAGTATAGGTGGGAAAATTTGTATTTTTGGGCTCGCATGGCAGCCATTTTCCCCAACCCTGTCTCCGTGCCAGCCACTTCCTCCCCTGGCTACTGTGAGGCTTAATTTTTTTTTTTTAAAGGGCACTAGAATATTATAACTTTCTAACAATAGGTTAAGCAGGTTCTCTGAATTCTCAATAGGGCTGGGCACGAACCAGCTCATAAACAGAAGTTCATGATGAATTTTGGTCGGTTCGTGGTTCGCAAAGCGATGCTCATGAACTTAAGAGCTGCCATGAACTTCCATGAATTATAAGGAAGTTCATGGTGGTCCGTGGCAGTTCGGGAAAGGCTGAAATCTGAGCCATTTAAACCCCTGCTTTCTGCTCCCCGTGAAAAGAGGCAGGGAGCACAAAGCATGGGGTGAAATTGCTCTGAGCCATTTAAACCCCTGCTTTCTGCTCCCCGTGAAAAGAGGCAGGGAGCACAAAGCATGGGGTGAAATTGCTCTGAGCCATTTAAACCGCTGCTTTCTGCCCCCCCCCCCAGTTTTCAACAGGGAACAAAAAATGTGTTTAAATGGCCCCCAGCCATTCAAAATTCCTGCTTTCTGCTCCCCACAAAAAGCTGCAGGGACCAGAAAGCAGGGGTCTCCAAACAGCTGAGCAGTGGGGACTGCCACTCAGCAGTTTGATTTAAATGGCTCATTAAATTGCTCTCCGTGAAAATGGGTAATAAGCACAAGTAATTAACATGGTTAATTTACCCGGTTTTTAAAAAGAGAAACAATTTATTAGGACAAAAAAAATTAAAGCTTTAAAATCTAATACATTAAGCAATCCCAACAGTGATCACATGTGTTGATCAGAGAGGTTTAGGTAAAAAATGATCAACTGAGGGAATATCTACAAGCAAAGGTTTGTCATAGAGGCAATTCACACTACCCCAGGCTACTTCGCTCCACGATTTTCAGATGTGTTCCAGAGAGCCCACCAGCTGGACCAAGTTATAATGCTGAACTGCTTTTTCTCCCCAAATCAACCCCTGCAGATTCACAGAACCAGATCTTGCATTTACCCTTTTGGTAGAATTTATGCTTGTACTGAGAACAGACATCAGCTTAATGATTTCCTTGTTCTCCGAAACACTTTTGTAGTAGTTTTTGTTTTGGACAGGAGCAGGCAAGATCAGAGAGGCCGTATGTGAAGCAGCATCTTTTTAAAAAAAAAGAAGCCAAAAAGACACATTTAGAAAGAGGGACTTGAGGACAGGATGTTAAGGCATTTTAAAGTTTGTTACAGATTGTCAAACAAGTCACCCAGCTGTGAAACACAAATACAGCCTAAAGTAAGAAGACAAGACATCGTGGTTAGATCTCCATTCGCTTTAAACTTCTGGCAACAGCATCTATGGGGGTGGGGGTGGGGATTAGGTCAGGTTCACAGTCCCAGGGAATGGAGGTTACCACTTCACTCTGTGACATTTTTTTAGTGTACATTGCCCTTCCTCCCACAAGGTGCTATGTGTAGTGATTAGGGAAACATGCAGGGATTTATCCAACTTTGACCCCTCACCAAGGGTCCTTACAGGGATTCCGCATACAGCACACATTCAACATGTGCTATGAGAGCTGCACTGGCTTCCAGTGGATTACCAGATCAGGCTCAAGGTTATGGTATCTACCTTTAAGGCCCTTCATGGTCAGGCACCCACATATCTTCGGGACTGCCTCTCCTGGTATACCTCCTGAAGGGCATTACGCTCATTTATTTATTTATTTATTTCGCTCTACATCCCGCCTTGCCAGCGGAAGCTGGCTCATGGTGGCGTACAACAAGTTAAAATAAAACACCAATGCACAGATGCAATACTATACAATTTCACGTAAACAAACAATTTACATAAAGTGCAAATAAGTGCAGATGGCGATTGCTATAAGATGGTCCGATGTAGAAAGGCCAATATCCAAAGTTGTTCTTAATGACAGTAACTTGAGGGCCGTAACATGTTCAGTTTTTGATAGCTCATTCATCAGTGGCGGCTCATAACCGAAGTCCTGGTGGAAGAGCTCCGTTTTACAGGCCCTGCAGAACTGTACGAGGTCCTGCAGGGCCCTGATGTCTTCCGGGAGCTCATTCTACCAGTGTGGAGCTACCACTGAGAAGACCCTGGCTCTGGTGATGGCCAATCTGGTGTCTTTTGGACCAGGGAGAGTCAGGCGATTTTGTGACCCTGACCTCAGTGCTCTCTGGGGAAAGGCAGGCCCCCGCCATATAGGGCTTTAAAGGTCAAAACCAGCACCCTGAAGTGGATCCGGTATGCTATTTGATAAGAACTTTCTGGCGGTCCACGGCCCAAGAGATATTCAGCTATCCTCGACCAGGGCCCTGGCCCCAAACGGGTGGCACTCTCTTCCGAATATCACGCGTGCCCTGTGGGACTTAATGCAATTCTGCAGGGAAAGCCTTTAAATAACTGAAAGCTTTCTTTACCTCGGAGCCTATACTCCACCACCACCTGGAGGAAACGAAGCCATTTATTGTCCAGGTGGATGCCTCATACGTAGCAATCGGGGGTGGGGGGCTATTTTGTAGAAGGGCCCAGATGAGACGTTGCACCCACTCACCTGCGTTTCAAAAACGTTTTCCAGCACAGAGAGAAATTGTGGCTGTCTGGGACAAGGAGGCATCCACAATGAAGTTGGCTTTGGCTACTTGGAGACATTGGCTAGAAGGGGCCCAGGTCCTTTCCGAAGCGTGGACCAACCATAAAAATTCAGAAGCGTTGAAAAATCCCCGGCACTTGAACGCAAAGCAGCTGCGCCGGGCGGAGCTCTTCTCTAAGTCTCGTTTCACCCTCAAGCACCTCCCAAGGAAGTCCAATTTCCTGGCTGATGCTCTATCCCACCTACCGCAGCAAGTTAGCCAATGTGATGGGATCATAGACACCAGGGCTTTTTTGGTAGAAAAAGCCCAGCAGGAACTCATTAGCATAATAGGCCACACCCAGCAGCAGAAACTCATTAGCATATTAGGCCACACCCCCTGACTGTGCCACTCATTAGCCCATTAGGCCACACCCCCATGTTACCAGAAGTGTGGTCATCCAGCCACACCCACCTTTTGCTTCTTATTCTGTTGACCTTTTTTGTTGTCAAAACCCAGGGCCTTTCTTTGTAGCAGGAACTCCTTTGCATGTTAGGCCACACACCCCTAATGTAGCCAATCCAAATGAGTTTCTGCTGTTGGGTGTGGCCTATTATGCTAATGAGTTCCTTTTGGGTGTGGCCAACTTAGGAGCCAGCTGGAACTCTGTTCCTGTGCGTTCCTGCCCAAAAATAGCCCTGATAGACACTATGTTTACACCCACCCAGTTGGGGGGGGGGTCATGATTCGTACCCATGTGAAGGTAGGGGGAGATGCGGGGGGGGTGGATGGAGAAACTAAAGGCTGCTTATTCCCCACAAGATTTGGAAGCAATAAAGAAAGAGGGTACAGCTGGTTCAATGGGTGCTGGTATTAAGGGGACAAAGTTTTTGTACTGGAGGCACTGAGGGGGGAAGGACTATCGATGGGGCATGACAATAAACTGTCAGAACATTCTGGATATTTAAAAACCCTGCAGCTGATTCAGGACTGATAGTCCTGGGTGATTTCAATGTCCATGCTGAGGACGCGACCTCCACTCAGGCAACGGACCTGGTGTCGGCCATGGCGGCACTCGGACTCCAGTGTTCCCTCTAAGCTGAGCTAGTGTGAGCTAGCTCACAGTTTTTTAGCCTCCAGCTCATACATTTTTGTCTTAGCTCAGGAAGGATGGCTCCAGAGCAAACTAATTTATGCAGTAGCCAAATCGCTCGCTCACAACTTTCATGCCAGTAGCTCACATAGTAGAATTTTTGCTCACAAGACTCCACAGCTTAGAGGGAACATTGTCGGACTCCCCCAATTTATAAACGCTCCCACTCACCGGGCTGGACACATGCTTAATTTGATCTTCACCACGGGGGTTACAGTGGACCGGATTACTGCTTTGGCATTACCATGGTCGGACCACTTTGCCTTAAAGGCCCGTTTGAATGTTTCACTCCAACCCTGCTTGGGCACCAAGCCTATTTTGGCTCACCCACAGAGCCAAATGGACCCAGTGTGGCTTCAGATGGCTCTTCGGGACCTGAAGCCCTCTGGCAGATTGTTAGATGAGCTTGTAGAGGACCAGCATAGCCAACTCCTGATAGTCATCGACGAGATCGCTCTCGGGCACCCTCTGTGCCCCTGTTCTAGGCTCACTCCATGGTTTACCCAGGAGTTGCAGCTGGTGAAGTAGGGGTTAAGATGGCTAGAGAGACAGTGGCGGCGCTCTTGTGGCAAAGCTTCAAGAACATCCTATAGGACGTTTATGAGATCCTATGAGGTGGCAGTCAAGGCCACCAAGAGACAATACTATACAGCTACGATTGCATCTGCAAGCTCACACCCAGCCAATTGTTTAGAATGATTCAGTATTATAGCTCTGCCACAAGGCAGACCAAATACTAGGGAATTCGACACATCAACAACACACACAGCAGTAGCAAGACACCCTGTTTAAATCCTAATAGAGGCAGTACTCCTAAATAGTGACGTGTCCAAAGCATTACCGTGGATGTTTCCAGTTTCAGTTTCTCTCGTTTCGTTCTCAGAATCACCATCACTCTGTAAAGCTGCTATTTTTCTTTCTAGTATCTTTTTCTGCACAATAAATAAACATTTTATATTTTAGCTTGAATATAAGTCCGCAAACAGAACCTAGGACTGGAGTATTTAAGAACCTAGTACAGCGGTATCTAATATTCCTGGATTACTGGAAGAGCATCTATTTTATATGCAGACAGTCCCAGGTGCCATCCCCACCATCTCCAGTTAAAAGGAGCAGGCAGGATGTGCTGTGAAAGACCACCCTGGACATCTGCCCCCAGTCAGAGCAGACAGAGACGGACCATGACGAGCCCGGGGTACCCCGCGGTATCAAGCAGCTTTTCATGTTGAAGTGATTCACCAGCTAATCAAATAATATATATATATTTTAATCTACTCAAAGGTCACCTATAATTAATCAAGCAGCCGATTCCATTTTTAAAAAGTAATGCAGGTTTTATATAATCTGCAGAAGGCAATCTTACAAAACCTTACAAACGACATTGCCTCCCCCCTCCCACCCTGGTCACATTCAGGAGGCAACGCACCTTCCATGAGGCCCTGCTGTGCCACACGCAGATTGCTTTTTTGCAGCTTTGACTATCATGCAAATTTTAATCATTAAATCCTTTAACTAACCAAAGCTCTCATAATGGCTCAACCAACTTTTAAAAATAAGGCAACAGACTTAACACAAAACACACACCTTTGATAGTCTCTCTTTACTCCATTGACCAACCCCTTTCATGACGCTCACAATGCTATCCACAGCTTTGTTGATGGTTTGCTGGACTTCATCAAGGGCTGGCACCATCGCAAAATGGGGAATGGAAAGGAAAATGCCAGCCTTAAAGATAGGCTGAGCACTCAGTTTCTGCTTGGAGGCACTCTCGTTATCTAAATGGAAATGAACAGCTTATAAATCCACTTATTAATTCAACCTCCAGTGGGTCAAGTCATTAGATTCAATAGGAGGAGGGTTTATTTGGAAAAAGTAACATGCCAGCTGGCTTTTTGATACTACCTTTTTAAAAAATACATGACATTGCCACAGCAGCGCTAGTGGTCCTGTTTTATTTTTGGAGTTGGGGTTATTTCTGCTCTTCAAAAAGCCAGGTCTGACATGGTACAAAGAGACCATGCACAGATAGTGACCCTCCAATCATGTCCAACCAGCTCACCTATGTGTCTTATTCCATTGGGAAGGAAAGAGGACATGATTTGCATAGATCAGATGCGCACAGGACATACATTCAGCTCCCACAAAAGCCACTGTGCCTTCTACTAGGCTACACTTTTACCCAAACATATGCACCGGACTCGATGAGCACTAGACTACCAGAATCTGCACCATGCCTGATATCCAGTTTCTGTCTCTCCACAGTAGGGTCTCAGGCAACAAAAGCACTAAGCTTCTGTACCCCGTGTGATTTCTGTTTCAGGAGCAATACTGTCAACGTAGACATGCCTCTACCCAAAGAAGTTATTTATCATATTCCTCTGGAATAGCATTCCCTACAGAAAGGTGCCAGTAGTGGCACCTTTAAGACCAAGAAAGTTTAATTCTAGATATAAGCTTTCATTTGCATGCTTTCATTTTATTGCTTCAGACCAACATGGCTACCCACCTGAATCCAGCTTTCACCACAGTTCGTTAAAGGCTACCAATATATACAATAGTCAGCATGGCCCCATCTGCAGATACCTAAATCTGTAGATCAGAGCCATGAACAGACTAGGGAGATTTTGCAGCTAACTTGGAGGACCCCCTGTAGGTTTGGAGAAAAAAAATCTGAAGGCAAAAGGGGGGGGGATGGTGGTGGGGTCCTAATTTTTGTAAGAAATATCATGCCCTGCTGCTTCTTCCCAGTTTAAGAGAAGGGGAAGAAAGAGTCCCTACCTAAGAAGCTGATGGCAGAAGAGGCCTGAATGCGCTTGCGTATGGCTTCTAGGGTGTTGCGCGTGACCTTCAGAAGAGCATCCACGTTGTGGTGGCTGAAATGTGACAGCAGTTCTTGGGCTTCTTCCTCCAGCATTTCGATTTCCTTCTTTTTCCTCTTGGCTAAAGGGGAAGACAATCGGGACATCTGGCCAGCACTGTGTGAGGAGGATGCTAAGGGGTCTGACGGCCCTTCTTCGTCGGCCACTGGGAAGAACCACGGGAAGAGTTAGGCAGGCGGCCTTCCGACCAGCCAAACAGTCAGTCAGTCAGTCAGTCAATGTCTATGACGGTCAAAAACCAGCATAAGATCAAAACATCTCTTAAAACCATCTAATACTCATAAAACTCGGAGTTCAGGAAAACTATTGTGATAATTCCAAACATTTTCACTTTCTAATTGCTATAGTACAGAATTTTGCTATTGCATAAGTTACAGATTTCTGTGCATCTTCCATGAGATATTTCCAGAGTAGTTCAGACCTAAAGTCCATATAATACTTCAGTGGTATAAATTTAGAGAGGAGTGGAATAATTAATTGCAATCTTTCTTCTTGATAAAATTCACAATGCGGGAGAATATGTGTAACAGATTCAATCACTTTTCCAGAACAGCCAAACAAAACAGAGTCCTAGACAGGAGACAGGAGTCCAGAAGCACCTTAAAGACTAACCACATTTGTGGCAAAGGGAGGAGCTTTCATGAGTCACACGGCTCACTTCAGAGTGACAGTTTCCTAATCTGAATTTGGCTGGAGAAAGGGCAGCTGGCTTTGAGTTTGGGGGCAGCAGGACAAAATTGCTGAGACAGTTCTGTCTGCCCATGTTGGAGTTTTGGTAGCTCTATACTTACTTACCAGTTTTATATTCTGCCTTTCATTAACAGTTTGAAAAAATATATATACATATAATCAGTTTAAACCCAGTAAAACCTTTTGAAATGTCTTTAGATGTAGTTAGTATTTTCCCCAAGAGATGAATTTTACAAAACACTTAATGTATATATGTATGTGTTTGTGTGTGTGTATACACACACACATTAGGAGTAAGGCCCGTTGTGGGAAGAAATACAACGAGCTCTAGAAGGAAGCTCCAGGTGAGTGTCCTGGCTGTGGCTGGTGGGGCGGCAGAGGGAAGGGGGAAATAGAGGGAGGCAAGCCATGTTTATTTCCTTCTGGTTAGCTATAAGGCAGGGCTGTCTCAAGTCATTTTGCTGCCCCAAGTGGGTAGAATGGGAGGACAGCCTCATGGTAACAGGTATGGTTCCCTCTTCCCCTGACTTATGTTGATTTGGGGTTCTGCAGTGGCAGCTAAGGTAGAAAAGCACCTCCCTAGGCCATGTCTTCTGGGTTCCAAGGGTCTGGAAAGCGGTTCCATAGCCGGTTACAGGGTTGCCAACTCTGGGTTGAGGGGTAGAGCCTGGGGAGGGCAGGGGTGGGGAGGGACCTCAGCAGGGTATAGATGCCATAGCATCCACTGCCCAAAGCAGCCATTGTCTCCAGGAGAACTGATCTTGGTCATCTGGAGAGCAGTTGTAATAGCTGGGAAATTTTCTGTAGGGGAAATGATGTGCTGTGGCTGGGGAACATGGTGATTTCTGGGAGATCTCCAGGCCCCAAAGGGAGATGGCAACTCCAGTGACCGTTTAAGGGAAGATTGGGATATGTATTTTATCTCAGGACACAATCAATGACTCCCAACAGTAACAGCAAATTGTTTAGAAAGTTAGAGGCAAAGGCCAATCAGGCCACATATGCAAACGACCTCTGTGTTCCAACTGGCTATGGGGGGTGGGGAGAGGAACATCAGACTGTTTAGAATGTTGGAGGCGGGACTCAGGCAATGCAGCCAGTGGATAGGGACAGCTTCTGAGTGACACATCATGGAGCCAACTGTTTTAGGAGCGTGTGGAATGTTCAGAAAGTATCCTCTTCTGCAAATGACCTGACTAAGTCTAGGGCAGGTTCATGAAACCTGCATGATTTCTTAAGCCTTAACAAAAATTAGAATAAATTATGCAAAACAAAATATTTCCATAAAGTACTTAATGAATACAGGTTTAAGAAAGTTTTTCCTTGTTGTATAACTTCAGCTTCTTTTAAGGCGGAGGATTATGTTACATGCTATGACATGCACAAGCCAGTATTTGAATGGAGTTTCTTACCCTCCTCGGTCCTGCTTCTACTCAGAGGCTTATCATCAGTATCTCCTTTGATTTGTACTTCCACATCTAATAACGTATTTATTAGCTCATTGGCTGCTTCCTCTACCAATGAGCTTTTCAGGTGCAAAGTGCGCGCTCCGTTGATACAGAGTTCCTGCAAACAAGATACCTGTATTTCACATTGCATTCCATTACTTGGGTTCAAATCTGGTTTACGGACAAAGCCAGAGGAAAAAAGAATCAGAATCTAAATAACCTCAGAGTCCACTCATGTTACAGGCTCACTGAAAGTTGTGCAACAGCTAGGGCCTGGAGAAGAACGTGCACTGCACAATGTCTCACTTCAGGCAACCTACAGTCCACACAATTTCCTTTCAGGCTACTTGATGGTATTTCCCACTCACTGGGAGCCAATTAAGTGTGTGGACTCTAATCTGGGAGAACCGGGCTTGATTCCCCACTCCTCCACTTGTACCTGCTGATGTGACCTTGGGTCAGTCACAAGCTCTGTCAAGAGCTGTTCTTGAAAAAGAGCCGTTTCTGCCAGAGCTCTCTCAGCCCCACCCACCTCACAGGGTGTCTGTTGTGGGGAGGGGAAAGGGAAGGAGTTTGTAAGCCGCTCTGAGACTCCGTTGGGTAGTGAAGGGCAAGGTATAAATCCAATCTCTTCTTCTCTTCTTCTTCTTCACTTGCCATAGACTTAGATACCATAAAGTGATTAATGCATGCAAGAATGACCCCAAGAGATAAATATTTTCTGCTACTTCTCTGAACTAATGATGGATACATATGTTTCCTGACTCGCACGTGCACCTGTGTGTATATTTACAACTCAGAGCCAAGTTGCTGCAGCTGTTCCTTGAGGCTACTGCTTCCCTGAATTACTTAGTATATTTGTAGATCAAAAAGGATAGCTATGTCAGTCTGTCTGTAGCAGTAGAGAAGAGTAAGAGTCCAGGAGCACCTCAAAAGACTAACCACATTTGTGGCAGGGGAGGAGCTCACAGCTACCCATCTGAAGAAGCGAGCCGTGACTCATGAAAGCTCCTACCCTGCCACAAAGGTGGTTAGTCTTTAAAGTGCTCCTGGACTCTTGCTCTTTTCTATTAGTACGGGGGGAGGGGGGATAAGAAAGGGTGAGGATCAAAAAACAGCCTGTTTTCAAATCCGGGTCTGAGATGCAGACTGCTTGGTAGCTAAACCATAAATCATATGAACTCCTGCTCATTTATTTATTTATACTTTAGATGTATGGAGCGCCCAATCCTTGAATTCACAGGGCTCTGGGCGATGAACAACAACAGGATAAAATGCTGTCAGGCCCGGGGGTGTCTACGGGCCGTGGGGGACTGTCAGCCGTCATATGAGGAGTTCCAGGAGAGAAGCGAGAGACCGGGAGAGGCCTGGGGTTACAGCACCACCAGAACGTTCTTCCCTCGGGACTTGCAGCCATACGTCTCCCTCTGAACCGCCCAGGCTCCTGCCTCCGAAATCCTCCCCGACTCTCGCCTGCTTCCCTCCTTTTATACTCCCGCCCACCCTTGTGTCGCCTCCCCTCTCTCCCCAACGGTGTGTCATTGCTTCTCCCCCTTGTCAGTTATCCCTGCCTCCCTCTCCTTGGTGGAAGCCCCCTGGTGTTCCCGCCCCTTGTTCCGCCTTCTGCCTCTCCCCCTTGCCAGCCCCACCCTCAGGAGTCGTCCCGTGTGTGGGCGAGGTCACTCCCGGGGGTGATTCCAGGCCTCTCTCCAGCAGCGGCAAGTGATCCCTAGAGGCTTTGGAGTCGAGGGAAGGACCTCAGAGCTGGGGCCAGGCACATCCTGGCTGCGCCCTTGGCTGGCTGGGCCCGGCAGAGAATGACTCCATCGTCTTTGGCCCCAGCAGTCGCTCCAGGGGTCCCTGGGCCACCTGCCCCCGCGCCCCCACCAACACCCTCCTCAGCACTCCCAGCCGCGAGGCCTGTCCCCAACTCCAGGACTCCACGAGGCAGGCCGTCCTTCTGTGGGTGCAGGGATGGCACGGTCGGCTGCCTCCCCCGGCCAGGCAGTGCCCTGCCCAACGGGCCGGGTCCCGGGTCATTGCTGTCTTTGCCACCCTCGATGAGCCTCCGCAAGCCCGGTGCGGGAAGCGCCAGGCCCGCCGCGGGGGCCGCAGCAGGACAAATGCCTCATAACAGTGTTAAAAGTATTATATAAATTAACTTTAAATGACTCATTACATTGAAGTCTGAAGCCGTGTAAGCCAGAAATGGGTCTGTCGCCACCTCTTATCAGAACGATTATACCTTTGTCTTGCGAAGGAATTCCTCACAGGTCAGCGGCTCTTCTTCGGGGAGGCTGCAGAGGGGCGTGCTGCTCATTTCTTGAAGAACGGCATTAATGCGAAACTCTATCAAGTCATTCACACGATCGAGCAACAGTTCTAGGACAGCTGGAAGGTCAAAGAGGAGAGTGAGGACAATTAACAGGCCCCGCACACTGAGAAACCTTTGCACTGTTCCTTGTGTGCCAATATGCTAAAATGTAAGGAAGTGGTAGGAAAAGGTTTGCGTCCAATGGCCCCTTTAAGACCAACAGTTTTATTCAAGATATAAGATATTCAAGGATCTGAAGACGTGTGTGTGCACGCGAAAGCCTGCATCCAGAATAAAACTTTGTTGGTCTTAAAGGCGCCCCCACTGGATTCCAACTTAGCTCTTGCTGCTTCAGACCAACATGACGGCCCACCTGAACCTACCTGTAAGGAAGTGGCGTTATTGTTAGAAGCCAGGCTAAAGAGTCTCCCCTTAACCGAGCCACCAGCTGAGAGCCAGCTGTGGCTTTTCCCCACTATAACATCCCAAAGGGCAACTGAGGAAACATCACATTCCGTGACCCTCTTGGAAGTTCTCAGGTGTCATTCTAATCCGTGAAACACATTCTGGGGGGGAGGCGCTGGTCTGAAGCAGCAGAACAAAGTTTGAGTCCAGTGGGGGCCCCTTTAAGAACAACAACGTTTTTTTAATTCTGGGTCGAACCTTTTGTCTCAAAGGGGCCCCTGGGCTCAAACTTTGTTCTATGAAATGGTTACTCCCAGACCACGACAAAATAATGGGGGGGGGGCGCCCCCTGCAATCTGCATCAGTGATGTGGCAGGCTTAACCCTTCCCTCATCTCCCCACCACCACCACTGTTCCGAGCAACACACTTCGTGGGTGAAACAGCAGGAAGGTGTTGTTGGGTGAAGCAAACCCTCCTTCCTCTGCCCCTCCACGGCTGCCTATCAGGCCCCTCCCCTGCTGTCGCTGGCCGGCACCCTCACTGGCACCCACGTCTGGTGCTGAATGTGGGATGAGTTGTTCAGAGCACCAGTCAACATTGTTCAAGAAGCGCTCTTCTTCCCTGAAGCTCAATCCCACACACTCAGCTGGAGGTGACAGTGACGACAAAACAAAAAGGCGAATTTTGCCATGGTCTTCTCTTCCACCTGTCTCTTCTACTGACACCCCACATGCTTTATATATAAGAACATAAGAACATAAGAGACGCCAATTTTGGATCAGGCCAAAGGCCCATCCAGTCCAACACTCTGTCACACAGTGGCCAGAAATACCAGGGGCCATCAGGAGGTCCAGCAGTGGGGCCAGGACATGAGAAGCCCTCCCACTGTTGACCTCCCCAAGCACCAAGAAGACAGAGCATCACTTGCCCCAGAGCCCCTATCTATACCTTGTGGCTAATGATTAAACCCAACTGGATGCCACCAAGACTGATTGAATTACAGGCCTGCACTCCAGAAATGGTGGCAGCCAATGTTCCCTCTAAGCTGTGGAGTCTTGTGAGCAAAAATTCTTCTTTGTGAGCTACTGGCATTAAAGTTGTGAGCGAGTGATTTGGTTACTGCATAAATTAGCTTGCTCTGGAGTCATCCTCCCCAAGCTAAAACAAAACTCTGTGAGCTGGAAGCTAAAAATCTGTGAGCTAGCTCACACTAACTCAGCTTAGAGGGAACACTGGTGGTGGCTACAAGCACAGACAGCTTCAAGAGGGGACTGGGGCAGAGGTCCATGAGTGGCTCTTAGCCACAAGGTATAGCAGGAACACTCTGTCTGGGGCAGTGATGTTCTCCATTTTTTGTGCTGGGGGGGGGAAGAGGGGGGGGCTTCCGGAGTTCTGCCCCTCTGGTGGACCTCCTGATGGCACCTGGGTTTTGGCCACTATGTGACATAGAGTGTTGGAAAGATGGGCCATTGGCCTGATCCAACATGGCTTCTCTTACATTCTTATGTCTGGGGCAGTGGTGCTCTGTATTCTTGATGCTTGGGGGATAATAGAGGGAGGGCTTCTGGAGTTCTGGCCCCGCTGGTGGACCTCCTGATGGCACCTGGGTTCTGGCCACTGTGTGACAAGGAGTGTTGGCTTGCATGGGCCACTGGCCTGAACCACCATGCTTTTCTTATGTTCTTATAAGGTCTGTAAAAATTCTATCATTTGAGTCCTCATCAAAAAAGTGTAAGCGCACATTTTGGCCCCAAACATCAGAGCCACTGTGTTTCAACAAGAGGACAGTTTCCGCTTCCATTGAGAAGATCCTTGCCAACAGAAGACCTACCAATTTTATCCAGAACGTTCTGCAAATACTTCTCGATGCTCAGGGATGTCCAACTCAGTGTGGTTAAGCCAGGCTGCATGGCATCGTCCACTCTTGCCAGATGAAGCGTCGTTAACGTCTGGAGGGGAGCTGGGATCTTTGACTTCACTCTCTTGTGCTCTGACAGCATCATCTGAAATGAGGCCCAACTTCAACACACACACACAACCCAAACCCCGAGTTACGCTCTCCATATATTTTAAAAGCATGCCACTCCAAGCCTGTACTCCCCAAAAAGCTGGATGCGGCCCATCGCCATGGACTGGGGCCTTCCAATGCTTGACAGCCTCAGACAGGGCAGGAACAGGGGTGGCTCGTGAAGCCCCAGGTCAGCTGCTCTGCTGAGACGGGCTCTTCAGATTCTATTTTAAGGTAGTAAAGCGGACAGCTATCCCCCTGCCTTTAACATGAAGTGGCTTGAGGAACTCACTTAAAGGGTTGGACTTTGCCATAGAACCAATGGGGGTTATCTAAATTGTGGGGGGGGGGGGAAATACCTGCAATTTGTTGAATGTCTCTTTGTAGGTGTCGCGTTTTTGCTGGAGAGCTGCGGCGAATGGTGGGATTTCCAGCTCCATGCGTGACATGCACTCCGTTTCCCTGATCAAGGTGAGGATCTCTGGGTCGAAATTCACAAATATTTCTCCAGTCTCTGGAGCTTTCACTAATAACGATACCTTAAGTCCTGCTTTCATTAGTTCGACCTGCAGACACGTAACATGCCAGGCATTAGAGCAGAAGAACGAGCTCAGACTAGACTTTCCCAAAATCTTGCTGTACAACCAAGATGGAAGACACTTGGCATGTCACGCAGTTTCCTCAGCCAGTGGCTCTTCAGGGCCATGGGCAGAGGTCTTCTGGCGTCATTCCTGTGACTTGAGATGTGGGGATTGAGCCTGGGCCCTACTGCATGCAAAGCATTTATTTATTTATTTATTTTCACTTATACCCCGCCCTCCCCGCAAGCGGGCTCAGGGCGGCTTACATAGGCACAACTGTGCAATAAACTTTAGCATTCAGCTATGACAGTTCCCCCCCCATGGAAGATAGAAATTTATTTTATTTCAAGGTAGAAATTTATTTTATTAACCTACAGAATGCCTTTTGGATATGTTGGAGCCCCTAAGATGAAAGGGCAAAATAAACACACAATAAGAGGAACACAGTCTTATCCATCAGTCCCAAGACCTTCTGAAACAGAAGTATTTTCAGTTTTCTTCAGAAAGCCTTGAAGAGACATCTCCAGTCCCATCCCTCAGGGAAAGAAGTTCCACGGCACCCGGGGGCGGCCGTCCTCCTCACAAGTCCTCAACAATCCTACTCAGGCTTCTACGTGACAGCCCTCTCCCATTCCATAGCACTAACCCTGTCCTCCCGTAGAGCAGGAGGAAGAGGGGGGGCACCACCTTTCAGCAGCGTTGCACGTGTGGGGGAGGGAGAAGGGGGTGGGTTTTGTCCCCCCCCTCACTGCAGCTCCCTGACCTTCATGGGTGTCCCCCCCACATGGTCGGGAGTGCTGAGGAGATGGGGGCACAGCAAAGATCCAGCCCAGTTAACTGCTATGCCAAGAGGTAACAGAAAACACATTTATAGCTGTTGCAGTTGGCGGGCATCAATAATGTAATCTACAAAAAAAAAAAAATGCTCTGTGGCTGAAAGCCCCCAGCATGCCACATCATTACCTGCTGAAGCCATCCCCGGTGGTAGACAACCTCAAACTCCAGGAGGACTTTAGCCACCCGGTTATAGTTGCGGATGATGGGCCTGGCTTCCGCCGTCTGGAGAACGGTGGGATGCTGCTGGAAGAGGCTCATGGGCGACTGGATTCTGAGGAAGAGCTGCCGTGCCCACAAGATCTTGCCAGCCACAGGAGGAAGGTTGCGAGCCACCGGGGGGTCGTTCTTTTGCTTGGTGTACAGTTTAGAGACCATCTCGATGTCATGTCCGTAGTTCTGAAGGATGACCTGGTATTTGTCATCAATGCCAAGACTGGGGATTCCTAACCTACAAATGAGGAAACCACCGTCGGGAAAAACATTTTAAATGGCAGAATCCAGCATGTCAGCTCAACTCCTTGTCTCTTACTGGGTTATTCGGCCAATTCACACAACTAAACGGGTGTGTCATGAAGATAAGCTGGACATAACAGAGCCAAGCTGTCATCCTGAGGCTGTTATCTGACCACCAAAGCAGGTCAGGTCTCCTATTTTGTACCTACATCTTTATCAGTATAGTTATGTGAATGGGAGGAGGAGGAGGAGGAGGAGGAGGAGGAGGAGGAGGAAGAGGAGATTGGATTTATACCCTACCCTTCACAACACCAACAAACCTTTATTGGCATAACAACAGCATCAGCCTTAGGTACAGAGGGCCCAAAGAAGTCTCAGAGTCTCCTTCCCCTTCCCTTCCCCACAGCAGACACCCTGGGAGGTAGGTGGGGCTGAAAGAGCTCTGAAAGAACTTGTGACTGACCCACGGTCACACCAGCAGATGCATGTGGAGGAGTGGGGAATCAAACCCGGTTCAACCCAGATTAGAGTCCGCGCTCCTAACCACTACACCAAGCTGGCTCTCTTAAGCACTTTGAGTCAGCCACCAGGCAAAAACTCAAGTCACATCTTTGTTACCACCTGAAGAGAAGCAGAATTTGGACCAATATTTGAAACTTTTAAACTTCTCTGCTAGCAAGGACATTCTGTAAGCCTATGAGAGCCTCTTGAACATCATCGTATACATTGTTGCGGCTGTGCAACTAACTAGGAACAGCTATCATCATCATCATCATCATCATTATTATTAATGTTAGGTCTCACAAAGGGGAAACTGTGCCTATTCAGACTGACCATCAGCACTGCACACAAGCAGAGCCGCTTATTAAAGGCCGCGTCTCCTGTGCCTGAGCCACAGCCACTAATGGGGTAGACACTGAAGGGTGCAGGAAGGTAAATTATGCCGTTTGTGATGTATGAAGCGGAAATCAGCTCCAGTTACGACCGAGGCTATTTCTGTTTGTGAATAAACAAACTGCCACCCACAGAAGGATTCCTGCTATGCACGGAGCAGTCCAGCTTCGCAGGCCAGCAGGGACGGGTGCCGTGAAATCTCTCCTTGCTCCCGCCTAGATGTTCATCTGAGTTGACGGAAGACAGTGCCTTTTCATTCATTGTTTCTATCAGTAAGCAACACATGCAGCCCTTGACTAAAGGGTGTGTGTGTTGAGGTTACAAATCTACCAGCACTTCCTAGTTCCCAAGATCAAAGCTAACAACTTTTTACCTTTCGAATTTCTTTAGCATGTCGAGTGCTCTTTCGGTGTTGGTGATCTTTTCAAAGGTAATATCCATGAAAGTCTGTAATTGGTGCTGCAGGAGGAAAACAACGGAAGAGAGTGTGTCTGTTATGCAATCTACCCTCTTCATAGGAGCAAAGCCAGCTCCCACCATCCATCATATTCTAGTGTACCCCAGAAAAAATAATGCAGGAGGAGGTCAGACAGAAGCAGGTTTGCTTGATCCTTAATGGCTGGGAGTGCACTGGGAAGAAACCAAGTTCCACTGCAGGAACTCCTTTGCATATTAGGCCACACCCCCTTAATGTAGCCAATCCTCCAAGAGCTTACAGAGCTCTTCTTACAGGAGCTACTGTAAACTCTTGGAGGACTGGCTACATTAGGGGTGTGTCGCTTAATATGCAAATGAGTACCTGCTACAAAAAGAGCCCTGCTCGGAATGACCCGCTACTTCCTCCCTAAGAGATGAATGGTTGCCATTCATTCCTATGGGGGGGGGGAGTGAATGGCTATGGTTGGCCCCAGTGCAGTAACAGAGGCAAGACTGACCCCTCTCCTCCTGATGCCAGGGAATACCGCCTTGGCCGGCAGAGACCCTGAGAGGGGCACAGAGAGACACTGGAGCACACGGAACGCGAAGAGTTTCTTCCAGCACTTGAGCTGCCCCCATGTACATGGCCTTTTTGCTCACCACTTCTTTTACACTTGGAATATGTACATTTATGTTTCAGTTCAATGTGTACCACATTATGTATATAACGGAGGAAAGATTCAGGTGGGTGGCCGTGTTGATCTGAGGCAACAGGACCACGTTGGAGTCCAGGGGCACTTTTAAGACCGACAAAGAATGCACACAAAAGCCTCCGCCCAGAATTAAACTTTGTTTGTCTTAGAGGTGCCCCCACCGGACTCAAACTTGGTTATAATGGAAGAAAGTTAGCCTTGGGCTGGGAGGGTGGGGTATAAATCTGAATAAATACGATGATTTGTGTGACAGATTTACATCCTGGTTTTGTGTATCATGAGCAGGACCACCAAGGAGAGCAGGGGCAGAGTACAAAAAAGAAAGAAAATCAAGGTCTAGATAGGCTGGAACAGTGGGCTGAGACACACAAAATGAATTTCAATAGAGATAAGTGCAAAGTCCTACACTTAGGTACAAACAATCAAAAGCACAGATATAGAATGGGAGGGACTTGGATTGACAGCAGCACATGTGAAAGGGATCTAGGTGTTCTGGTTGATCACAAGCTAAACATGAGCCTGCAGTGTGATGTGGCTGCGAAGAAAGCTAATGCAATCTTAGGATGCGTTCACAGAAGCATTGTGTCTAAATCACGGGAGGTGGTAGTTCCACTCTGTTCTGCTATGGTCTGGGAAAGAGAAGGCTTAGAGGGGACATGATTGCAGTCTTCAAGTATCTGAAGGGCTGTCATGTAGAAGATGGAGCGGATCTATTATCTCTTGCTCTGGATTGCAAGACTACATCTAATGGGAGGGAGTCTAATACAAGGGAGTCGATACCGGCTAAATATCAGATCTAATACAAGGGAGTCGTTACCGGCTAAATATCAGGAGAAACTTCCTAACTGTAAGAGTGGTTGAGCAGTGGAACAGGCTGCCTCGGGAGATGGTGGATGCTCCTTCGCTGGACGTTTTCAAGCGGAGGAGGCTGGACGACCATCTCTCAGGTGTGTTGTAGGTATGTAGGGCTATCTTTCAGCTATGCTCCTGCAGAGTGCTGGGGGTTGGACTAGATGACCTGCGAGGTCCCTTCCAACTCTAACATTCTATGATTCTATTATTCTAAAGTCAGAATGTGTTACTGTCTGATCTACAAAAGCCTGGTAAGTCCCTTGGGAAGTGCCAAACTACACAATGCGTTAATTGGAGCATGATAATGGGGTAAAAAAGCTAAGCTAAGCTCTGCTGAGTCATGTTCCGCACACGCTGCATATGTGCCTCACAGCACAGATCTCTCAATCAGCAACTATGAAGCTGAGCTCCACAAAGGTTTTGGAGCATCTTTTCTCTAACAGAAATGTGGCATCGTGGGTCAGCGATGCCAGTATTATTCCACAAGCAGGCTCTCGGCTCAGTGCATAAGATACATAGCTGAAATCCCTCCAGAAGGGCTGTGCATCCTTTTTATTTTATTTCTTAATTTGGTCTCTACCCATTTTTGGAACAGTAGATAGGAACATATTTCTCTAGTCTGGGGGTAGAAGGGAAACACCGCACAGCAAATCACAGTCCACTTCACAGAGAAGATGTAATGCAAACACCACTATAGTTGGGAATGGGCAGTGCAAGCAGACCCGTTTCTCCCTCCCCCTCCCTTTCAAAACTAATAACAGTAGCAAATCAGCATACAACAGAATGAGGATATTTAACAGATTCAAGGACCAAAACACAGTGAAGGAAATGTTTAATTCTGGGTATAAGCTTTCGTGTGCCTGCACCTGTTCAATGGGATCTTTAAGACACGTGCAGGCACTACACGAAAGCTGATGGAGGCCGTGTCGGGCTGGGCACTGGAACACCCTAGACTGATAGTCTTGGGTGACTTCAATGTCCATGCCGACAATGCGGCCTCCACTCAGGCAGCGGACTTAGTGTCGTCCATGGTGGTGCTGGGACTCTCCCAATACGTAACGACTCCCACTCACCGGGTTGGGAACACGCTTGACGATCTTCGCAACGGGGATTACAGTGGACCGGATCACTGCCTCAGCAGTGCCATGGTCGGACCACCTTGCCCCGAGGGCCCATCTGAATGTTTCACCCTGACCCTGTTTGGGCGGCGAGCGTATTTTAGCTTGCCCACAGAGCCAGATGCGGCTTCGGATGGCTCTACGGGATCCGATGCCCCCTGGTGATTCATTAGATGAGCTCGTAGAGGATCGGCACAGCCGACTCTCTGCAGCCATCTACGAGATCGCTCCCCAATGCCCTCTGTGCCCTCGCTCCAAGCTTGCACCTTGGTACAGCCAAGAGTTGTGGCTGATGAAGCAAGGGCTAAGATGGATAGAGAGACAGTGGCAGCGGGCCCGCGACAAAGCTACAAGAACATCCTATAGGACATTTATGAGCTCCTATGAGATAGCAGTTAAAGCTGCGAAGAAAGAGTACTATGCAGCTTCAATTGCGTCTGCGAGCTCACGCCCAGCCCAATTATTTGGAATGATTCGGTCCATGATGGCACTGCCAGAAAGCAGGTCAAACGATAGAGAATTGGATATTGGCTGTGAGGCCTTTGCGAGCTACTTCACAGATAAAGTCTTGTTGCTCCACCGTGGCCTCCCCACCACAGTTGAGACAGTGAGTGAACTCGAGGCTCCATGCACGCCTTTTAGTCAGGTTATGGATCACTACAGTCCACTCAACCTAGAGGAAGTTGACAAACTACTTCTGGCTGTACACCCCACCATGTATCTCCTTGACCCGTGCCCATCATGGCTAGTGAAAGCTGGTCGCGATGGGTTTCGGGTGCCCTGGGGGAGATTATTAATAGGTCCCTCTTGGAGGGACTGTTCCCTGGGACACTTAAGGAGACAGTGGTCTGTCCCCCCCTTGAAAAAATCATCTCTGGATCCAGCTGAATTGGACAACTATCAGCCGGATACCAACTTGCCCTATTTGGGCAAGTTAATTGAGAGGGCAGTGGCAGTTCAGTTCCAGAGCTCTTTGGGTGACACGTCCATTTTAGACCCCTTCCAGTCCGGTTTTCACCCAGAACATGGGACGGAGATGGCACTGGTCGCCCTCACAGACGGCCTTCGGAAGCACCTGGATCGAGGCGGGTCAGCAGTGCTGTTGTTGTTAGAGCTGTCGCCAGTGTTCAACACAATCAACCAACAGCTACTGATCCACCGCCTCGCCAACTCTGGAGTTCAGGGGCTTGTCTTGCAATGGCTCGCATCCTTCCTTCAGGGTCGGGAACAAAGGGTGGCACTAGGGAAACAGCTGTCCTGTAGGCACCCACTGATTTGTGGAGTGCCTCAGGGGGCGGTACTTTCCCCGATGCTGCTTAACATCAATATATGTCCCCTTGCCCAGATTGCCCAGAGGCATGGGCTGGGGTGTCACCAGTATGTGGATGACACCCAGCTCTATCTGTTGTTGGGTGGCCGGTCTGACTGTACCCCAGAAGATCTGGACCTGGCGTTAAAAACTGTTGCTGGTTGGCTTAGACTGAGTCAACTGAAACTGAATCCAGTGACGACGGAGGTCCCGTGCCTGAGCCGGGGTGGCCCAAGGGTAGGGATCCCACTCCCAAATTGCAATGGGGCACAGTTGGTGCCAGCGCTAGAGGTTAGGTGTTTGGGAGTGCTCCTGTATGCCTAACAATGGAGGCCCAGGTAGCAGCCACTGCTAAGTCAGCCTTTTATCATCTTTGGCTGATCAGGCAGCTGGTTACCTTCCTCAAAAGCAACAACTTGGCAACAGTGATCCATGTGATGGTCACCTTGAGGTTAGACTACTGCAATGCTCTGTACATGGGGCTGCCCTTGTCTCAAATCCGGAAGCTGCAGCTAGTGCAAAATTCTGCGGCTGTTAATGGGTCTCTCTATATGGGAACACATCCAACCTGTGTTGAAAGCACTGCACTGCACTGGCTGCCAATAACATACCGGATTTGCTTCAAGGTGCTGGTTTTAACCTTTAAGGCCCTTTATGATCAGGGTCTGGCATACCTAAGGGATCGCCTTTTCCCATATGTTCCCCAAAGATCACTGCATTTGTGGGCCCAAAACCAGTTGGCCCTCCCAGGAGGAGGAGGAGGGAGGAGGAGGAGGAGGAGATTGGATTTATACCCCATGGCCCTTCACTACCCAAAGGAGTCTCAGAGCGGCTTACAAACTCCTTTCCCTTCCCCTCCCCACAACAGACACCCTGTGAGGGAGGTGGAGCTGAGAGAGCTCTGACAGAAATGGCTCTTTTTCAAGGACAGCTCTTATCAGAACTAGGGCTTGCCCAAGATCATCCAGCCAGGTGCCAGTGGAGGAGTGGGGAATCAAACCCGGTTCTCCCAGATTAGAGTCCGCACACTGAACCACTACACCAAACTGGCCCTCCCAGGTCCCAAAGATGCCCGGTTGGCAATAACCAGGGCCAGGGCCTTCTCGGTGGTCGCTCCGAACTGGTGGAATGAGCTCCTGGAAGAGATCAGGGCCCTGCAGATAGAGCTCTTCCACCAGGTGTTTGACTAAGGAGCTGCATCATACACCGAGGAGTGACTCTGTGCCCTGGCCTCACCATCTTCAGCCCACCTGTGCTGCATATATGTAAGTAGATAAACAGAGCTAGTGCAGGAATACTATCATCACTGCCACCTATGGAGTATTGTTCAATCCTGAAATTCTCTGCTCTTGTACTTTATCTGAATATTGTTCCAGCACTTTAGGATAACTAATCTGTTTATGGTATTAGGTTCTTTTTATGATGGATTTTAATTGCATTTATATATGCATTTTATGTAAGCTGCTCTGAGCCTGCCTCAGCGGGGAGGGCAGGATATACATCAGAAGCCTTGTGTCCGGATCACGGGAGGCGATCGTTCCACTCTGTTCTGTTTATGGTCAGGCCTCACCTGGAGTCCTGTGTCCAGTTTTGGGCATCACATTTTAGGAAGGATGTTGACAAGCTCGAGCGTGTCCAGGAGAGGGCAACCAGGATGGTAAGAGGGTTGGAGTCCAAGTCTTATGAGGAAAGACTGAAAGAGTTGGGTCTGTTTAGCCTGGGAAAGAGAAGGCTTAGAGGGGACATGATTGCAGTCTTCAAGTATTTGAAGGGCTGTCATGTAGAAGATGGAGCGGATCTATCCTCTCTTGCTCCGGATTGCAAGACTAGATCTAATGGGTGGGAATTACAAGGGAGTCGATACCAGCTAAATATCAGGAGAGACTTCCTGACTGTCAGAGTGGTTGAGCAGTGGAACAGACCACCTTGGAAGGTGGTGGATGCTCCTTCGCTGGACATTTTCAAGCGGAAGCTGGATGACCATCTTTCAGGTATGTTGTAGGTATGTAGGGCTATCTTTCAGCTATGCTCCTGCAGAGTGCAGGGGGTTGGACTAGATGAACTGCAAGGTCCCTTCCAACTCTGACATTCTATGATTCTATGAATAAATAAATAAATAAAAATAAATAAATATCTGGAATTAAACTTTGTTGGTCTTAAAGGTGCCACTGGACTAAACTTTGTTCTATTGCTTCAGACCAACACAGCTACCCCACCTGAATCCATCTTCAACTTAACCGTGCTCATTGCTTCGAAATTCTATTGTTCATCAATAAGCAAAACTACTTACATATGGTGAGGACCAAACCTACCATATGGATGAAGTATCATTTTACCCAAACAGAACTTTTAAGATTAGCAATCAAAAGAATGAAATGGGCAACTTTCAAACCTACATGCAGGTCACTTGTTTGCTTGCAAAACTCTTCGAAGTCCTGGTCAAAATCAGTTTTCCTTTGATCTAAGAAATTGTACTGCTTTTTCTTCATGGTAGTCACAATGCTCTAAATGTAAATGGGAATACAATTACAGCTGGAACGGTTGTGTCTTTAGAGAAGATGAGCATTCAGTCCTCACCAACACAGAATGCATATTTTTAGTAATTAAAAAAATATATAGTAGGTGGAATTGTAACAGAAAGAGCAAGTTTGCAGTCATTCATTTCATAAGTGAGTCACAGTTCTGTATACTGTTAGGTTCTCAGCCCACTGAGTCCTAATTTTTTATTTTTTAATTATTGCTTTCAAATAAAATAAACTTTCGAACATGCAAAAATGTGCAGCACTTTTGGAGTGTGCACTCTGATGCAACAACTTTTTTGACTGATAGTTGGAGCAGAAATAAGTGAGTCCAGAGGAGCTAAACCATGTATCATAACATTATTTTCCATTATTAAAAGGCCTCCATGCAAAGCCACTTTCAAAAAGTCATTTCACAACCACAGAACACAGCATTAACAACCCTAGGATAAGTTACCTCCCATTTTTCCTGCATTGCCGCAGCCTGTATAAATGAAAAATATATTTGTAATACGTGTTGTAAGGGTTATCGTTGCTTGGCTAAGACTATGCTGCCATTAATAGTTTTGTATTGTTTATTTGTTATTGTTGTTAAAATAAAAAATTAAATTTTAAAACAAAAAAAAGTATAATAAGATGGCTCTTTTGTTGTTCAGTCGCACAGTCGAGTCCGACTCTCCGCAACCCCATGGACCAGCTCACGCCAGGCCTTCCGGTCTTCCGCCGTCCTCTGAAGTTTGCTCAATTTCATGTCCATTGCATCTATGACACTGTCTAACCATCTCATCCTTTGCCATCCCCGTCTTCTTTGACCTTCAATCTTTCCCAGCATCAGGGTCTTCTTCTCCAGTGAGTGCTCCCTTCTCATTGGGTGGCCAAAGTATTGGAGCTTCAGTTTCATTATCTGGCCTTCCAGGGAACAGTCAGGGTTGATTTCTTTGAGGATCGAGCACCATAGTTCAAAAGAATCTATTCTTCGGCTTACTACATCAGTAACTATGAAAAGGGTTAGAATATTAAACTACAATTATGAAGGATTTCAGACAGCCTATCTATTCCATTTCAGGAACTGGTTACTAACTTTTTTTCCTGTCATTTCCGATAGGCTCATTTTAGTAACCAGCTGTTAACAGAATCTATTTATCTGTTCATGCAATGCCAGTTGTCTCCCGTTTGGGAAGTGTGTCTGAGGCATTGTTGATGCAAACTGCTTTCCTCTGGTCTTCAATCCCTTCTTCTGGATCTGAATCACTACAGTGGGCTGTGTAAAATGCCCCATAGTGCTTCCTCCAGTGATGGGGTTTTGGCGCCCTTCCCCCCCCGACGCGCAATCTCTCCTCTTTTTTTAAAAAAATGTTCTATTGGGAGCACTATAATGCTATAACAGGATGTCAAATCAGTGTCATAGCGCTCCCAATAAGATGTTTGGGGGAAAAACCTCTCAGGGAGATCATGTGCATGGAGGAAAATGGCGGGAAGAGAAAGCGACAAACTTTGAAACGGCCACAGCACTTCAGAGACAGCTCCTTACCGGAAGGGAAATGCTGTGTGAAACAGCCGTCCCTGTACCAGTTTCCTCCATGTCAGGCCAATAACGGAAACCATGCAGTTTAAAAGGGTAATGTGAAACAGACCTATATCAGACTACAATTCCCAGAATCAACTGGTACAAATGTCTTATGAACATACACAGCTGATTCATCCATATTCAGACCGCTTGCTCATGTTGTCCACTCTGACAGAAGTGATGTCATGTAGCCTTTAGGAATTGTCAGGAACACTGTGGTTTTACCACAGAGTTTCTGGCAATTCCTAGAGTTCCATGATGTCACTTCAGGGGTTTCTTGGAAATAATTTGAGGAGGATGAAGAGGAAGTAGAAGAAGAGGAGGAGGAGGATTGGATTCATACCCTGCCCTTCCCTCGGAACCCCAGAGTGGCTTCCAGTCTCCTTCCCTTCTCCCCACAACAGATACCCCACAAGGCAGGTAGGGCTGAGAGAGCTCTGAGAGAACTGCTCTTGAGAGAACAGTTCCGAGAAAACTGTGACTGGCCCAAGGTCACACAGCTGGCTGCATGTGGAGGAGGGGTGGAGAATCAAACCCGGTTCTCTGGATTAGATTCCGCCACTCTTAACCACCACACCAAATTGGCATGTTACTCCATAGCCCCCCAGGCACCCACTGGCTGCCCGGCTGTCAGCCCGAACTTAATGGGATATTTACCTCCACGCTACAACAAGCTTCAACTGCCCATTTCCACATTTCCACATTTCTTCTACTAAAGAGACAGGACATTTTTACTCCTGTCAGACCTATGCCAAACTGTGCTCTACCTTACAACCCTCCACTTACACAACTTTGTGGGAGACAGATGTATCCAAAACTATTAGACAGGAGTCAGCGAAATGGAACCTGATCACCTATGACGCTTTCTTACTCCAGGTCAGATCACGGGTCCATATACAGCCTCCTATGGGAACGGCCTTGAACTGAAATTCTGAATCTGAATGAAACTCTGATCAGAACGAAAACTGAAATCATTACGTTGTATTCGAATCTGCTGTTCAACCTCTGCCTTACATGTGTGGGCTGGTAAGTTCCATTCCATTTCGTTGTTTCTGAGGAAGAGAGTGTGCGTGCACACGAAAGCATTAAGCTTTGTTGGTCCTGAAAGTGCCCCCGCTGGACTCAAACTTTGTTCCACTGCTTCAGACCAACATGGCTGCCCCCCACCTGGATCTGCTCTGAACTGGGTCAGACTACTGATCTCTATCAAGGTCGGTGTTGCCTGCTTAGACCGACAGGGGCCCTCCGGGGTCTCAGACGTCTTCATATCCCCTTCTACCTGATTCTTTTAATCACAGATACTGGGGACTGAACCCAGGGCCCTCTGCGTGTGTCACGCAACTGGGTCTTTAAGGCCTAGGTTTTGCATTCTCCAGCAAAGTGCTAAGGCATAACTGGATCGTGGAAGACCTGCCGTGTTAGTAGTTGACAAGCACCTTTTTCCAGATTACCGGTTGCCTTAACACCGGCCGGCTGGAAACTGTCAGAACACCAGTGTGACGTTTCCAGACGCTGACAGTTGTCAGCAAGCTGCGTGGTGTGTTCTTTTCTGTATCATACATTGTGCCCTGTCCATCCCCCCCCCCCGTATTCTCATGTGTAGGTGTTTACTGTCTTTTGCTTGCTACATCTGCGGAACTGCTCAAGGTCAACCAGCTGGAGGTGGGATGAAGTTATGGCGTTGCTTTGCTTATTATGTATCCTCATGCCTGAGAACTGAACTTGTGTTTACGTTGTAGAACTGTTGTGTTCCCAAGAAATTGGGCGCTAGTTTTATCTGCATTCCCGCCAGCGGGAATTGGACTCATTGGTCCTAACCTGGTTCAAGTTCCTTTATTATGTTTCCCTATGAGGCTTGTAGTCATTCCTAACAATTCTTGTGTTCCTGATCTAACCATCGCTTTATAATAAATTTAACTTTGTTCTTCAAACGTGGATTTATTTCGAATGCATGGGGGATCGGACAACAGTTCTCAATCTAGATGGAAATGATCTAAGTCAGGATCGGTCTGTCCATTAGCCTTTGACAGCTAGTTTAGTATTTAGTTAGCAGTGAGGGACAGCCACACAAGCATTACGGGGGGCTCTTAGGAGCAAGATCCCGGGAGATGCCAGGAACCTGGCTAGAGAGTTACACATACCCTGGCAGGCAAGATGTCTGGACGTGGTGAAGGAGGCTTCAGTTTGAGAGCCAGTGGCCTGGAGGAGGAATTGTTATTCCTCGGCGAACTCAGCTTTGGCATCTGTTGCTGGAAACAAGCTGCTCAGGGTCAGTGCACCAGATAGAGAGAGCTAGGTTTGTTTTGTTGTCTTTGTTCTTTGTACACACCCTTGTCCCCTACTTCTTCACCCAAAGAGTGATTAACACATGGAATTCACTGCCACAGGAGGTGGTGGTGGCTACAAGCATGGACAGCTTCAAAAGGGAATTTAATAAGCACCTGGAGCAGAGGTCCATCAGTGGCTATTAGCCACAAGGTATAGATAGGGACTCTGGGGCAAGTGATGCTCTGTCTTCTTGGTGCTTGGGGGAGGGGGCATCAGTGGGAGGGCTTCTAATGTCCTGGCCCCACTGGTGGACCTCCTGATGGCACCTGGTATTTCTGGCCACTGTGTGACACAGAGTGTGGGACTGGATGGGCCTTTGGCCTGATCCAACATTGGCGTCTCTTATGTTCTTATGTACTTGTATGTTTTATTGTTCTGTGCTTTTTGTAAATGAATTTAATGTTGCTTTTAAAACTGATCGGAATAAGTCACTGAACCCAAAAGAACCCACACCCATGCTACCAGAGAGAAATTTAGGCACTACCAGAGATTTCCCCCCCACCAAACCGGTCTGAACATCTCAGACCTTAAGGCATAGGCCCCTGGGGATGTGACAGTGTGCAAAGCAGGCGCTCTACAACTGAGCCACAACCCCGCCCTTCAGCATGGAAGTCCTATCCTGAACATGCCTCAAACACACAGAGTACTGGTTTCGCCCTACAAGGTCCTGCTCAGGAATAGTTGCCGCTGAGATGGTTGAATCCTGTCTGTGTTGTGTCACTTTTAGAATTCACTCCTGACTGAACACTCCTCCACACAAAAAGATTTCTTGCATATGAACTGCAAGACCAGAACTCTTCTCCTTGTCTTGCCAGTTTTCCATGCACAGGAAACTCATTTTGCAATCATTCCATCACACAAGCCTCCACCTGCAGTGCAGTGTGTGGTACAGCCCCAGATACAACCAGGTCTCAGTTCTGAGCTCACCTGCTGAGCTTTAGCAAGTCACTTGATCCTAGACACCGTTCACCCACGTACGTTCATTCTTCCCTTGCAAACTGATCAAATTATATTCATGCTTGAAAGAGGACCCGCTGAGAAAGTACCACTAAGACCACTTTCATACCACCTCAACAGAGTTAGCTCATGCATTCAGATAAGAAACTGAAAGGGCCAAGAGAATCATAGGCCACAGAGCTGTGTACACACATGCACAAGTCATGCGTAGTCTCAGTAGCCCATCTGTAAAATGGGAACCTTCCTTGTGGAAAAGTGAATGAGATCAGAATGAAATTGGATAAACATACAGAGCAGAGGTCCATCAGTGGCTATAAGCCACAGGGTATAGATGGAACACACTGTCTGGGGCAGTGATTCTCTGTATTCTTGTTGCTTGCGGGCCTTCTGGAGTTCTGGCCCCACTGGTGGACCTCCTGAGGGCACCTGGTATTTCTGGCCACTGTGTGACTCAGAGTGTTGAGCTGGATGAGCCATTGGCCTGATCCAACATTGGATTCTCATATGTTCTTATGTCTGGGGTGGTGATGCTCTGTCTTCTTGGTGCTTGGAGGGGCAACAGTGGGAAGGCTTCTAGTGTCCTCCTGGCCCCACTGGTGGACCTCCTGAGGGCACCTGGTATTTCTGGCCCCTGTGTGACTCAGAGTGTTGGGCTGGATGGGCCATTGGCCTGATCCAACATTGGCATCTCTTGTGTCTTTATGACCACAAAGCATTCCATAATATTAGTTACTGTAGTCCTCTTTTTCCCCTGACCTGGATAACCCAGGCTAGCCTGATCTCATCAGATCTCAGAAGCTAAGCAGGGTCATCCCTGGTTTGTACTTGGGTGGGAGACCACCGAGGAGGTCCAGAGGGTTGCGATGCAGAAGTAGGTAACGGCAAACCACCTCTGAATGTCTCTTGCCTTGGAAAACCCCATAAGAGGTCTCCATAAGTCAGCTGTGACCGGATGGCACTTTCCACCACCAATCTTCTTTTTAGAATTTGTTTACAGAATTTATGTGGACAATGAATGGGTAAAACAGTTACTGGCTGTTAGCAAAGCAAGCCCCACGGGTTAGAAAAAAGTGATGAACCCACAGCCAACAACCCACAGAAAAAGTGATGAACCCACAGCCAACAACCCACAGCCAACAACCCACAGCCAACAACAAAGTACACACATTCAGGAACGGTAATACTTTTATTGCAGAGCCATAGATGCAGTAACATAAGCACTGTTAAGAATGGCGGCGGCCCCATGGGCATAATTGGATATAGGGTATTCGTATGCACCCCCCCCATAGCACTGGCCAATTAGGTACCCTCCCGCACACGGGATAAAGCTTGGAGACCGTTAGGTAGCTAAAGCTGAGAACCAACACTCTCCCACGGCACCTAGGAGAAACCCAGACAATACAACTCCCTCCTGCACATCTGTATAGATAAGCATTTCGGCGCAAAGCAGAACAAGCACAGAAAGGAATGCAGTAGCAATTAACCTGAAAGGAATGCAGTAGCAATTAACCAGACACAGACTGAGCTCCCCATCCCCCACGGCAGCGTAGCTGACAGGTTCCTGCTTTCACTTATCTGTAGACAGGTTTCTGTATACAATTTAATACTTCAAATCCATCACATTTGAGCATGACAGAGAACCTGTAGGAGGGAAATCCTGGTCCATGGCTTCCCCCCAACCCCAATGCCATCTCTGGCCCTCACTTATCTTCAAAATAACCCCCTACCCGCAACCCCACTAATAGGACATGATCCCATATATACAGAAATCTCATAAGCCTTCTCCTTTAAGACGTTGGCTTAGATTGTGACTTCTTTCCACGACAACTAATGATCAAATTCATTTTGCCTACCTGGAATCTAGTTGCCATAACTTCAAGTCCTTCCATCTTGGAGTCTTGTAGGACTGAATAGATTGTGACGGTGTCAAAGATTTGCATGATCTTAAGTAGACGGCGATGAAAAGTTTCAAATTTTCCAAAGATATACATCTCGCTAAAATCAAACTGTCGTTCAGATGGACTTTGCTCCAGTTTTTGTTTGGTCTTGTGAAAACAGTTTTGGTACTCCTGAAGAGCAAGAGACAAGATAGAAGCAGGAAGTAAATGGAATAAGAGCTACGGCAGCGCACATACTCGGTTTTAGCACTGATGCTTAACTGGAACCGCTGCCACTGCTAAACTGGAATGCTGAGGGGAGGGGGAAAATTCCATCCGTGTCATAGTCTAATCGTGC